TAAACTATATCTTTCATTCGAGACCAAATAGAAAAATCAAGAGGATTGAAGTCCGGACTTCTGGATGGCCAAGCAAAAATGATTACATGGCCAATCCAGCGATTTGGAAAAACTGCATCTAAATATGCACGCACTGGCCAAGAAAAATGCGGTGGAGCTCCGTCATGCATTCATAAATAAAGTGGAACTTCTTCAAGCCGTGGAAGCATTTTTACTTGACCACCCGGACTTCAATCCTCTTCATTTTTCTATTTGGAAGAATCTATTGGCTCGTGTGAAGAGTTGTCGCCAAGAATACAAATCGCTGCCATCGAAGTCAAACGCAATCCCAACATGTTGTTTCAAACTCGAAGATCTCTCAGAAAACGTTGTGTAAAGTGTGTAAATGTCAACGGTGGAATCTTCGAATACCGACTTTAAATCATTATTACGAATTCCATTTGTTTTATTGTAAATTGTTGTAATAACACGAAGAAACACTTGGTTTCTTTCGTTCTTAATTTCTCGTATTATCAAAACATAGTGTTCGTTAAATCGATTTTTCTCGAAAACGGATTGAGATACCGAAATGAAACAAGAATACATAATTAATGGAAAAATGATTGCTCTTTCAGGTTTTGAATCAAGTTTCATAAAGGGTAAAAAGTTATTAACTAAATTTTTGGTAAAATTGGTCGTAAGTGGCGCCCTCTACTGAGCAATGCTGAAATTACAACACGCATCTTATTCGTCGCCTAAAAAAATATAGTTTCACAAATTTTCAAGTTCCCAACCTACATATTTTCAGAATAATCGCAAAAAACGATTTAAAATTTTAATTTTCAACACCCTGTATTTCTGAAACTATCAACTTTCGGATAAGGTATATTTGCGCCAATGGTCACCAATTCACGTGTAGTATCTTCAGCTTTCGATTTTTCCATTGTTAATGAATCACCCTGTATTATAGGTAGGATCTTCATACTTGGCCAAAAAAATTTTTTTGATATAATAAAATATCACACCAATTTTTGGTTAAAATCGGTCCGATAGTTTTCGAGTAATAATTTTGCAGATCCAGATCCAATCCAGATTTTTGCAAATTTAACCGAGTCTAAATTAAGACTTCTAGATACTGGAAAATTTTATCACATAAAAAAGGGCACTCGAACTTTCAAATGCGTCCAGAAAAATTGAAATCCATTAATTAGGAGTTCTAAGATAATTTGATTTTAAAAATTTATTTATATAATTGTTTGAACAAATTTTGAATGCTTAAACAAATTGAATACAATATACGGATAAAAACTGTATAAATTTGAGTAATATTATATATTATTATAAATACGAGAAAAGTAAAGCAAACTAAAAAGTAGTAATTATCAATACGTTAATATGTCGATAATTAACAATAATTTGCATTTGAATATGCGATATTTGGACTTTTCAACTCGCAAGACATGGATTTAAAAAAAACATCAAAATCGGACCACTAGAAGCCGAGATAATCAAAATTTTTAAGCGCGCCATGTTGAACGCGCAATTTCAATTTCCAGTCGGTCAGAGTAGCCGAGCTCTTGACCCACCACCACTACTACCTCCCATACATTTTCGTGAATTTCATGCTGGATCCAATAGTTTAATCGATATTTTATACGGGTTGCACAAGGGCGCAAGTTTTACAAATTTACGCCTGGAAAGTACTCGGAATGACAAAGGTAATTGTTTAAAAAACAGCCAAACCTCGTAGTTACGCCACAAATGCCAGTCAACTTTATTCGACTATAACTCTGGAACCAATTAATGAATCACCACGTTTTTTTAAAAAAGAAGCGTCTTTCCGAGTACTTTAAAAGCATAATTTAAAAAAAATAATTATAATGAATTTATAAAGTTATTCTATTTGTTTATAAACGCAAAAATTATGCATATGTTTAAACAATTACCATGGCTCTCCAAATTAACGGATTTCAATTTTTCTGAACGCATTTTAAAGCTTGAGTGCCCTTTTTTATGTGATAAAATTTTCAAGTATCTAGAAGTCTTAATTTAGGCTCAGTTAAATTTGCAAAAATTTCAATTTTTTTTCAAGAATCTGGATTGCTTAATTATTACTCGAAAACTATCGGACTGATTTAAACGAAAATTGGTGTGTTGTTTTATTATATCAAAAAGATTTTTTTGATCAAGTATGAAGATCCTACCTATAATATAAGTATTTAAAAAAAATCGCAAAAATATTGTAATTTTTTTCACTTTTTTTTTTGTTGTTTTTGCTATATTTGCAATAATTATGTT